CTTCCTGTACAACTCTACTGTTGCACGCGTCCTCAAAGTCTCCAAGATGGCAGATTATGCTGGCTTCCAAGACTCCGTCAAAAAGGTGTTGAACGCCAACCTAGTCACTAAAAGAGGTGGTGAGTATCATCAGATTCATAATTTAGCGGCGCGTCAAGTCAAGTCGGTGGTGGTATTATTATTATTATTATTATTATTATTATTATTATTATTATTATTATTATTATTATTATTCATTTCCTATATGCTTTACACTTCTTGGATAAAATAGCTCTTGGGGAATGAAAAATAATGAAGGGAAAGGGTTCGCACTTTCTTTGAATCAAGAGTCCCTCACCAGCATCAATGCAGCCCTATTCATGAGATGTACGTCTGTTGTATCTGGCATACGAGGCTACGGTGTTAAGGCGTTTTAGACAATATTCTTCTGGCTATTTTAATGTAAAGTTAGAATAATACTATAAATATATTTGCAAAACTGGCTATTAGAAGAGATCGAGTAGTAAGTCCTACGGAGACGCTAAAAGACATTGTAGCTGTCTTCACTGTAGCCAGAACAACGGACGCACCATTTACAGTACTCCTGCATCCAGAGTTAAATTAATTCAAGTGTAACAGGATACTTTCGAGATTCTGTTTTGATGTCTTGTGATTCTCAATAAAATACATTTTCCTTGTTGTAATAATTAATTTTATTTAAAAAAAGAAGCGCTTGTGGAGAAGTTCTTGAACTTGAACACAACATTCATAGTCTTCAAGGACTTCGAAACGTTTCTACACACTGGTAACTTTCACGTCGAAATGTTTCAGTGTAATGGCACCCGTTACTTTGAAATAGGTACTTATAAAAACCAATTATTTATATTACACAAGGTTTACGCTGTAAATAAAACAGGCACCATGATTATGTACGAATAATGGGATTATATACAGATTCCGAGTAATGTTGCCTCAGTTAAAGCGGCGCTGGATGAGTATTATACTGCCACTTGTATAATAATATAATAATAATAATAATAATAATAATAATAATAATAATAATAATAATAATAATAATAATAATAATAATATATCTTTGGTCACACTCGAACAGCCTACTGAGGAATATGACCTATATAAACTACACACACACACACACACACACACACACACACACACACACACACACACACACACACACACACACACACACACACACACACACACACACACACACACACACACACACACACACACACACACACACACACACACACACACACACACACGCACGCACCGGGTCAAGCACGTTAAGAAATTAGAGAAAGTGCAAAGGTTTGCGACAAGGTTAGTTCCAGAGCTAAGGGGAATGTCCTATGAAGAAAGGCTGAGGGAAATCGGCCTGACGACACTGGAGGACAGGAGGTATAGGGAAGACATGATAACGACATACAAAATACTGCGTGGAATAGACAAGGTGGATAGAGACAAGATGTTCCAGAGAGGGGACACAGAAACAAGGGGTCACTCTTGGAAGTTGAAGACTCGGATGAGTCGCAGGGATGTTAGGAAGCAGTTCTTCAGTCATAGAGTGGTCAGGAAGTGGAACAGTCTGGCGACAGATGTAGTGGAGGCAGGAACCATACATAGCTTTAAGACGAGGTATGATAAAGCTCACGGAGCAGGGAGAGAGAGGACCTAATAGTGTTCAGTGAAGAGACGGGGCCAGGAACTGAGTCTCGACCCCTGCAACTAGAATTAGGTGAGTACACACACACACACACACACACACACACACATATCCCTAAGAATGGAGGAAGTGAAAAATTAGAATGGATCACGAAGGAATGTAGTGGAGGTCACCTCCACTACATAAATTCGAATATGACGGAACGTAAAAAAGAAGGCAGCGAGTTAGCCACATCGGTTAATCGACAAGCAAAGGCGGTGTCTACGATCTAGAATTCCTACTTGCTGACACATTTAGGTAAAAACATGATTAAGCTATATTTCCTAACAGGGGCCTGACAGTTCCTTTTGACCTGTGTGTAATCCAGTCATCAACTTTATAATGAGCGAACGAGATGGTGTAAAAAAAATATTGAATTATTTAGCTCAAAATATAAGACTTTCTGTCTGGAATATGCATGTTCGATAAATGGACACAGATGCAACTAATGTGACATTTTATTGTGGCAACGTTTCGCTCTCCAGGAACTCTGTCAAGCCGTTAACGGCTTGACAGAGGTCCCAGAGAAGAAACGTTGCCACAATAAAATGTCACACTAGTTGTATCTGTGTCCATTTACATAACATTTTATCGATAATTCTACAATTATTACTGCAATTTACAAAAAGAATAGAAATTCACGTCGTGGAGAACAGAAAGAAGACGGATAAAGGAAGGAATGAAAAACAAGAAGCCGAAACAAGAACAGACAGGAATATATGCTGTGTAAGTGATAGGAATTACGCAACTATATACGAAATAACGAAACACAACACACACTTTAAAATTCTACAAACAAGTGATATAGTAAAGTTGACTTAATTCCAAACGTATTTTCAACTTCCTAGCGATCTGTGAAGCATTAAATCCACGTGTGTCACTCATGAGTGGCTTGATTAAGCTTGATCCACCCTCCGTTAATCGCCAGACACACACACTACTTATTGATCGAGGTTTCCCTCGTGTTGTGTACTTATTTGGATAGTTCTAGGTATTGTTTTAATTCTGGTTGCAAACTTACTCTCATGTCAGCATTTAATTTACACGACGGTGTATCACCTTAGTTAATGCTGTGTTTGGGGAATTGAAGGAAATTGTAGGAATGGGAGCGATAAAAGTAGCAGTGGGAATGGGAGAAAATGTGGGAATGGGAAGTAGAAAATTTGAGGAGGAAAAGTGTGAAAAGGAGGGAGATGATGTAGAAATGGGAGGTAGGAGAGGGTCTCCACATCATTTTAATTTCCCCTGACCTCACATGGCACCGTAATCGAATTCAGTGACAAGATCTCTCTTCGTGACTGGTTTTTACTTGTTGACCTGACCACGCATGGCGTGATATCTGTCACTGGTCGTGCCTAGGTCTCACTTGTTGACCTGACCACATCTGATATGACTTGAGGAACTGTTAACCGGTGAGGGAATCGTAGGGTTTGTCACGTACACCAGATATTTGATGATCTCCGCCCAGTGGGCGGAGATAATCAAATATCACATGTTACGACGAGATGCTTACACTTTCAATGATCGTCTGGTAAGCCAGTGGAATACTCCAGGTTAAATTATTAAAATCTCTAGAAAAATAGCACCAGCCAACATCGTCATGTGGCAACTGGTATTTCGTGTCGGTTACTAATTCGTCTAGTGTGATAGGTCGTGCGAATATTTCTTTCTATATTTATACTTGAACCTGCCACTTATTCCTTGGGATCTTACATGATACTTGATCATCATGAGATTTCCGGCATATATGCATGCAATTTTCTAAACACGTGTAAAAAATATAACAGGGGTAGTGCAGGAACGTGTTTGCAGAATACAGATAAATTTCTTTGACTCTTTTGTTTAGTGACTGATATATTCTTTGGGATTGTAAACAAAATAGAGTTTAGTTAACTTAAATTGAATTCTGAGAGTTTTTTGTTGTTGTTGTTGTTGTTGTTGTTGTTCAAAGGAGAAATTAAGTTTATGGGGTGCCTTGCAGGAGAGCCAATACTTTGCAAACAAAATTAGTTTAGGGCACACGAAAACTTAATAGTTTCATTAGACAGGAAAGCGGAAAGTGCTCTAGAAGAAAAATCGATGAACGAGGTAGAGTATTTAGCCGGAGAGTGTTGATAGGTAAAGGAGAAAAATCATACTCAGAAGTAGCAGTGGTAGAAACAGCACAAATGATTGATCTAGAGGAGCACAGAGACAAAAACTCAGAGTTCTAGAGCATGGGTAAATAAAAGAGGCAAATTAAAGTAGAAAACAGAGAAGCGAACAGAATAGCCAGAAACTACTAAACACGGGTGAGAAGAGAGGCAGAACGATAACTTGTTAGTGACATAGCATCGAAAGTTAAATGTGGACCTACGTTGCTATCCAGTCACACCAGAAGGAAGACGGTAGTAATGAATTAGATAATAAGACAGAAGAAGGAAGGAGAGCTCAAAAGAAATAGCCAGAAAGTCGTGTGTGGAGCTGAAAAATCGCTTTAAGAAGATATTCTTGGAGTAAATAATGACATTACCAGAGTCAAAGAGAGTGAGTAAAAGTTTTGGATGCAGTTCACAATAGAAGAGAACAACTACTGAATGAGTGTACCTGAGAGGTAATGAGATCAGAGAATTTCTCTCCATGAGTTAGAGGTGTTTAAGACATCGAATGTAGTCCCAGTATTAAAGAAAGAGAACAGATGTGTAACATTATTAAAGGAACCAGGCAGCAAAGGTAACATTTACCTCGACTTTAGCAGACAGAATCCAGTCTTCACACTATGCACTGAATAACTCACTCTCGTTTATTTCATCTAAATATAATAATATCATTAATAATAATTAATAGTAATAATTAAGAGGGTGGGATAAGGAAATGGTGGGTATGGGGTGGGGGTAATTACTTGCAAATTAAACATTTACAGACACAGGAGCAGCGCTATGCTTGTGGTGTTAAGTCTTCAAAATCCGTTCATCATATAACTATATAAAATTTTCATTGGTTGTGACTTGATCATCGAAATAATCATCCACTCAAATTGAAAAAAAAAAATCATCCATGCAAGAGATTTCATTTATTAACATTCTCCGGCCGTCATAATTGCTTTACTCTGTTCAAAAATCAAAACAATACGGGGCTCTTGAACAGCATTGCCAGCAGTATTAGGGTGCAGTTGTGCCAAATATAACACGTACTCTTATAATTAGCGTGTCTTGCATCGAAATTTGTTTTCACTTCCTGGGTATGGTCAGGCAAGCGTAATCTGCAGGTTAATGTTGTGATGGATAGTGTTTGAAAGATGGCAGTGGTGAGG